CAGTGGCATGAAAAAATTTGCATAAATGAAAGGATGCCAAGTTTAAGTTACTCATAACATGGCATGTCCGTTCCATGTAACCGTGTAGTATATAACAAAATAGTATAGTACTATAATAATTATATTCCATCTCATGTGTAATATGGTATATGGGTGGAAGTTTTACTTAAACAAGCATTTTGTAACAAGAAATAAAGATCTTCAGGAAGGAGTACAACACCACTTAATAGATGACGTAATACAAAGAGACGTCATGACTCTAAATAGACCCTGTTACATATAGAAAATGAGGTCTGCGTGGGGACACATCGTGTTATGGAATATATGGCCAAAATTGGAACACATCTATTCCATTTGGAAAACTAGGACAAAAGCGTTTTATGATATGTGCGGTTGGGATGCCATGACGTGTTCCGTTTGAGAGGCCATTACGTGTTCTTAGGAGAAAATGACGCATACTTCCCAATATATGGACATTATTTTGACACATCTATTCCATTTAATGGGAAGGAAAAAGCCACGTACCGCATTGGAGTTACCGAGATATTTTCACTGTGTTCAGTTTAAACATGTGGTGTAACATAAAAAGGCACCTTTTATTCATAAATGTATTCCATATCACTAACACTGTAACTCCATTTGAAAGCATCTAAAAGAAGGAAGTGAATCAGGAGAAGTAGTTAATGCAACATAGAGACTAGCAGGTAATTTACTCTCAGGTTTCTGTAATTAATGGTGTTTCAGATAAGTTTGCTGGTTAGGTGTTGGAATAACATTAAATGTAAATTTTTATGGAATAGAAATAGAAAACTGCTACTTATAGATTTACCCTTTACTTGTTACTGCAGATGACGAGTCAAGATAGAGTGTTTCTGGTTCTTGGATCATGGGTCCGTGACCAATACGAAAGATGGGTTTTCGAACCAGACATAAATATCCACGTCGAGCTCTACATCCACCTCCATACGGGGATGACAATGCGCGAGTTAGTTACAATGGTTAGAGAACGCCTACAAATAACCCGTAATGGAGTGACAATGAAACTTTCATATCAGTACCCAGATTGGGTGTCATTCTATGATGAAGAGCTGAATCTCCCTCAATACATAACAGAAGACAAGGAAGTTAGGGCATTCATCGAGATGAGAAGAGTCTTAGAAGAGGTTAATTTGTTCGTCTCAGTAGTCAACGTGGACAGCGGACTGTAGTACGCGGGTAATGCAGCTGATGTCTTCCCACGAATCGCTGCCCGGCCGACTGAAGCGGGGGCGGGTGCAACATTAGAGGAATCATGGCATGAGTTTGCAATATCGGAGACCCCATTGACACTTCCTCAGACAAAGGAGACATGACAAACAAACATCACTGAATTGGCCCAATCACCTATTCCACCACCTGCAAATAGAATAGGTGCACCTATGTGCCGTTCTATTCCATATCCCTCAGGTGGAATAGCAATCCGAGAACCCAACCACGTGAGTCGTCCCAGAAGTCCTGCGGCGGATGCGAATGACAAGGGAAAGAACAAAATGCCTATTGATTCAAGCACCGAGAGTGACTCCGACTCCGATGATGCTATCCTCGTCCCCATATTGGGAACTTCGGTTGCTGTTCAAGGAGGATCTACATATCCGGTTCGGCGCCGTTTATCATTTGGCAATCCTGGAATACCCGCCATAGTTGGAGAAGGTAATCATAGCTCGTCACCTTCAGACCATGGAATAGATATCCCAACTGATGATGGTCTCCAGTGGGGAAGATTTGATGAAGCACTTCACGAAATGTTGAATGACCCACAGCATGCTGCCTTACTTGGTAGGGATGCACCTCCGGTTTTCAATGCCCGACCAGTATCAGGTGGGTTCTAAAGCGATATGCATACTTCTTGTATTTGTTTATGACCTTGGATATTCGACGTGTGCACTATGCTCATGCTAAATCTTATCTATATGTTGGTCCTATGTAGGTGTCGAGTCGGCCATAGTTGACGTTCATTACGAGGGAGATGAGATATTTGTAGGGCGTGTGTTCAGATCCAAAGCTGACTGCAAAATAAAGCTGGCAATACATGCAATAAATAGGAAGTTCCACTTCAAGACCACCCGATCTAATAACTCACTGCTTGTGGTTGAATGCGTTGGCCAAACATGTCCATGGCGGGTATATGCGATGTTGTTAGATGCAACTGGTAACTTCCAAGTTCGGCAGGCTAGCCTCATACATACATGTACTGTTGACGAGCGACGTAACTTTCACAGACTCGCGACAACACAAGTCATTGGCCAACTACTTCAATCTCGCTTTGTTGGAATAAAGAAGGGACCAACTGCTGCTGCAGTAAGGAAAATATTGCTTGACGAATTTCATCTGAATGTCTCATATTGGAAAGCTTGGCGCTCAAGGGAGCTGGCCATGGAACATGCAATGGGGACAATGGTGGGAAGCTATTCCCTCATTCCAGCTTATCTTGGACTTCTGCAATCCTCAAATGAAGGTACACTTTGCTATTTAGAGCAAAACGATGACACAGAGGGGGCAACACGCTTTAAATACTGCTTTGTTGCCTATGGAGCATCAGTAGCTGGTTATGCTTTCATGAGGAAAGTTGTCATAGTTGATGGGACATCCTTGAAAGGAAAGTTTGGCGGATGCCTCTTATCCGCAGCAGCCCAAGACGGAAACTTCCAAGTATTTCCATTAGCTTTTGCTGTGGTTGACAGTGAAAACGATAGTTCTTGAGAGTGGTTTTTCGAGAAGCTAAGCACTTTTGTCCCTGACTGCCCTGAACTTGTCTTTATCTCAGATAGACATGCTAGCATTTACAGCGGACTTCGAAAGGTAAACATCGGAAAACAGACGATACATAAATATATCTTTTCTATTCTATTTCTACATAGAAGGACAATTATTTATTCATACACCATATTCTAATAGTATAGTTATGACAAACAGGTGTACAAAGTAGCCGAGCACGCAGCCTGTGTGGTACACCTTTGGCGCAATGTGCAAGCCAAATATAAGACAAAGAGACTTGCAAATCTAATGTCAGCTGCAGCTCGAGCATTCACACTAACAGAATTTAATAGGCTGTTCATCCACATTCAGAAAATTAACCCTGCATGTGCTGCATATCTGGTCGACATAGGTCTCAACTATTCCATATAGAAACATACCTACGGTATTCTATTTAATATACTATTGTTCTATTCCATTTACATTTTCATCTGACAAGCAACCCTTGATTGCAGGCTTTGAGCACTGGACAAGAGCACATTTCAAAGGTCTAAGGTACAATATAATGGACTCAAACATAGCTGAATCATGGAATGGTGCCATTAAGGAGGCAAGAGAGTACCCACTGATCACGATGTTTGAGTACATACGTACAACAGTGATGGGTTGGTTTGCATATCGTCGAGCAAAAGCTAACAACGAGACGGGAACATTAACACCAAACGTTCGTAAACTTGTTGAAGAAAACTACGACCTCTCAACTGCTTTAGCTGTACGTGACATAGGAGATCTAGAGTTCCAAGTGCAGGACACAAGGGGAGAGTGCTTCACCGTTAACTTAGGTGCTGGGAGCTGCTCGTGTAGAGAGTATGACGAAATTGGCATACCCTGTGCCCATGCCCTAGCAGCAGCAGCGAGGGTTGGCTTCCCATCTGATGCATTGGTGCACCAGCATATCGTGTGACAACATGGCGACAAGGTTTTACTGGAAAAATTTACCCTGTCCCGTCAGTTGGGGGAGTGGAAATAGGGTCTTGTAGCACAGGTGAACTTCTCCCCCCCCCCCCCCCCCCCCCC